CAGCTGGGGGGTGGTCCCTTTACCCAAATTCACTGCAGTTCCCCTGAATGTAACAATTCAAACGTTGCTAAAACTTCACTGCGAGCTACAGCAGCATTTTATGACAGTCTTTCTCGAGAACCTTACCTCAGAGCAAAGGTGGTTGCCATTGTACCTGAGCTGCCTTCAGAAGGCTCTCTGCTCAACCAGCAGACAGAAACTGCACGATTTTAGCTGCTAGCTCTGTTCAGGCTTTCACAATCCCAGTCCTGAGGCCTGAGCACTCTCGACTGCCTCTCACCCCAGGGGCTCAAGCTTCCTCATGCTGATACAAGCTATGGCTCTTAAGCAGCCCTGGCTCTGAGGGGAAACCCAGCCACTACAAGCTGTGGTTTCACTTACACTGTATTACCCTGGGTGTCTGGCTGTTCAGTTATGGTGAACATTTGAAATCCTTGCACCTCCTTACCTCTGCTAGCTTCCTCCTGAATACTGGCTTGAAGAGGAGGTACAGCACCAGCAGCAAGGGTTAGCCATGATCTAGGAGGCTTTGTGCCAGGGCAATTATGGGTGGCTTTCCCATTCTGGTAGACCCCCCCCAGGTGAGTCTAATCCCATCCCTACAGAAGGAAAAGAGACCTGGGAAGGAGAGACCTGAAGAGCTTCCAGTTTTTGAGAAAGAGAAATTACTAAGTTGTTCAAGCCCTTTAGTTCCTCCTTTGTCTCATCCTAAGACTTCTGTTCCTTAAACTCGGCTTCATGGCCAAGAGGGAACTGACCCTGGTTGAATGATGTTGTAAAAGTATTCTCATCTAGCAGCACTGCTGGCAGAGTGGAGGGTTTTGTCTCTCCTGAGTCCACCTCAGGGAAAATTCCCCCCCAGCTGCTCAGGGCTTAGCTCTAAACTGTTCCAAATTAATGCCCACAGGCCAAAAGCTTCCACAGGAATCTTTTCCAGCCCATATTCCTCATAATATTTTTGCATTTTGACTCTGATTCTCCCCCAGGAGTCTGTTCCAGAGTCCCATAGTCAGGGAACCAAGGACACAGCTCCTCTATGGACTCCAAAAACCTCTGTACTTATTGCGGTTCTACCTTAACTCCCTAGTTTTCAAACTTTCTACAAGTGAACATACAAACATCTGCTTACTATTTCCCTGTCCGATATCAGCTTTTCTTTCTCAGACTGCTAAGTCTGCCGTGGCTGCTTGTTCCTGGACACTGTGTTCAAGTCTGGCACTAGGGAAATTCTCCTCTCACCCTAAGTTTCTTCCTACACAATATTCCTATACCTAAGCCCTATATTTTCCCTAACTTAGAGAGAGAGAGAGAGAGAGAGAGAGAGAGAGAGAGAGAGAGAGAGAGAGAGAGAGAGAAACCTAGACAGAGTGAGAGATACTTGCTGCAGGCTAATTTTTCTATATTTGCTCCCGAAGAATAAAATACTGCCTAACTTTTCATACAAAACCGGACATGTCCAACTGCTTCCACAAGGTTTTCCTGCTCTCACTTATCTATCCTCTGTACCCAAGTCCCTGTTCAGGTGCCATCTCCCACCTTTTCCAGGGTTCCTATGAAGAGGAGAGAGGGATAAAAAAACTTTTAGATAAAAAAGACAGCAGAGAGGAGACAGACAGAAAACAGGATAGCTTCAGGAGGACCTAGGTCAAAATCCAATGGCCCCTTCTGTCTCTTCAGAAGGGCTTTTTTTTTTAACAATGCCAATGGGCAGGACAAAAGACCTCCCCTTTGCTAATCAAAGCATACCGCACAGCCAAGTGCAGACCCTTCCAAACAACTGGTAACCGTGCCTGTGGTCAAACCATCCCCTTATGCAGCCCTGCTGGGTAGAGCAAGCTCAGATTCTTGGACCCTGAGTAAGTTCTAACTAGAAAACCTCTGTGGTTCTTTACAGATTGCTTTATTTTTTTTTAATTTTGGTCAGTTGCCTTTATTATTGTCTTTAATGTTTTTTGTCTGATGTATAAAACAACAATATTAAAAAATAAACTGAAAATTCAATTTCCTGAGTTGCTGTAACAGTAACAAAGGACTGGCATAGAACTGCCAGTCCCACTGCCTGACACACATCTAAAGAACTGAGATCAGGGCTGTGAAGAAGTGTTGTGCCATCTAGCTCCTAGCAACATTGCTCACAGTCCCCACAGCAGACATTCAGAAACTGAATTTGTTGCAAAGGCCATCACTACTCATTTGGGCCCACAAGGTTACTGAAAGCAAGATGAGAGTACAATCTCTGCCCCTACTCTGTACCTGATTATCCCGTGATGTTGGCACGATGCTCTCTCAGGAGCACCTGCCTAGAAACTGGTGATACCCAGCCCTCTCATTCTGCTTCGAGGCTGAAGGAACAGTGATGAGGGTGACCGAAGTGCCTTACTGACAGATTTTCAGAGTTACACACCTGCACAATGTGACCTAAAGGTCTCCAGTCCTTGTCCTCAATCTGCAGTCGCCTTGTATTCCAGGAAGCAAAAAGCCTTGCAGGACTGAACCTCTCCTATGAGAGAATTCTCTCTGATGGTGAGGCTCTACCTAGGGTAGGAGTAACCTTCTGAGAGCCACCTTACCCCTCACTCACGTGAGGACTTCATCAAGATTGAGACAGTGATCAACCAGACTGTGCCTTGGCCCCAACTGCTTAATTATACACATCTCTTGCCCTCTGTCCTCATTCTCACTCTGAGCAAACCAGTGCCTCGTGCCTATGCTCAGGTGAATGAGGTTACTGGATCCCTCTGGTAGTCTTTCCAGTGTGCCACACTGATTAATCTCCTTTCTCTGCCTTCCTCTTTAAGTGGCATATCAGCACTCTCATGCCTGAGTTTGCCTTTAAAGTCTTGGTGATAAAAGCAACCAAGTTTGCATAAATAGATGACCCAGGGGATAGATTATTATTCAGACTTGAAAAGAAGAAATCCTCTCACAAAATATTACATGGGAAAATGGGAGGTAGAAGAACTTATACTTAGTGAAGTAAGCCAGTCACAAAACTACAAATACTATATAAGATTTCTAAATTTGATAATTTCATTGAAAGAATATAAAATGGTAGTTACTGGGCTGCAGAAGAAAGAAAATGGATTGATAATGTATGTAGTTAGTTTTCCACAGTGTTAAACTTCTACAGATGAGCTATGCAAGGATGTGGTAGAGATAATTAATATTGCTTAATGCACATTTAGAAGACTGTAAAATTTAAGTCATGTGTCTTTCTTAACACAATTTAAAAAGTTTAAACACAACACACCCTCCACATGAATACCATGGTCCTGGGAATATTTTATTTTCTCACAAAAATATTTATATTTTCTCACAAAGCTTATGTTTCTCATGATTAACCTACTTTTCATAGCCTCACTATGTTTCAACCTGCTAAACAACATCCTATAAGGCATGAAGGTTTGTCTGCTCATCTTTACATGTCTGTGACATGAAAATATACCTCTTCCTGTGCATTTAAAAATTCTAGTTGGAGACTGATGAGTATAGCTCAGTGGTAGAGCACTTCCCTAGCACGCACAAGACCCTGGTTTTGATTTCCGTCACCACAAAAAATAAATAAAAATATAAAAATAGGGGCTTGCATAAACCCCATCCAAGGACTGAGGAATCTGAAGGCAGACATCCACGGCTGGGCCCCTGGTGGAGCACTGGGATTCTAATTAGTGAGAAAGAAGAGGGTTTATATGAGCGAGAATTGTTGAAGCCAAGGTTGAATAAAGCACAGGGACAAATAACCAAATGAATGGAAGCACAGGATCTATGAACCAAAGGCTGAGGGACCCCCAACTGGATCAGGCCCCCTGAATGGGTGAGACAGTCATTTGGCTTGATCTGTTTGGGAGGCAGCTGTGCGTTGGTGCCGGGTCCTGGGCTCATTGCATGAGTTGGCTGTTTGAATACTGGGACTTATGCAGGGACACTTGGCTTGGTCTGGGAGGGGGGGAATGGACCTGCCTGGACTGAGTCTAGGTCGATCCCGGTCCTCGGGGGAGACCTTGATCTGGAGGAGGTAGGAATGGGGGGTGGGCTGGGGGGAGGGGGAGGGGGGCGAGAGGGGGAGAACAGGGGAATCTGTGGCTATTATGTTGAACTGAATGGTGTTGTAAAATAAATAAAAAAAAAATAGGGGCTTGCAAAATAGCATGAAAACAAAGTGCTTGCCACTGAGTCTAGGACCTAAGTTTGATCCTTGGGGCCTGATGGAAGGAGAGAATCAGTTCCCATGTCAACCTCCCTTCACATGCCTGCCACACTTGTTCATGCATGTGCACACACACACACACACACACACACACACTCAAACACACACACACATAAGTGTGTGTGCATGCACAGTTTTTAATTACTTTAAAATTTTAAAATAATACTTATCTAAAAAATAAATGTTTTTTTTAAAGATATCTGGGAGGCCTGGAGAGATGATTCAGCAGTTAAGAGTATATCCTTGCTCTTGCAGAGGACTTGTGTTTGGTTCTTAGCACCCACATCAGTGGGCTGATAACTGCCTATAACTCCAGTTCTAGGGAATCTGATGCCTGGCACCTTCATGTGTGTGGTACACATGAACTCATGTAAGCCCATATACATACACATAAAATATCTAAAAAATGACTTTCCTTTTAAGTTTATGTACTATATATTAGACTAATTCCTTATAATTGTCCAAAATGATAAAACAGCATGGCAATTGAGTAACATTAAGAAAAGAGCAAATGATGAATTGTGTTGACAAAAGCACTATGAATAGGCAAAGTATAAAAGAATTTTCAAATTTGATCTTGAGAAGAATCATGTTGGTGACCCTGGCTGAGATAAGTAGAATGAAGGTACTCATAAGAGACAGGAACTGCCACCTCCACCCCGACCCCCTGTGTGCTATACAGTAGATAATAAAGGACAAACCAGAACTGGGCACATGAATTGTTAGTCACAAACTAGTTAGCAGAAACTGTATTTGCATTTTTCTCATATCTTACTCATTGTATATAAAACAGAACTCTTGGGGCCCCTGGATGGAAGAGACATGCTAAATGAAGCTTTTGCTGGCCCAGCTTTAACACCTGAAGGAGAAAACACATTTCCAGACCTTCCTTCCATTGGTTCCACACACAGACATGCTGTTCATCAGAAAATACCAAATGGCCCTTCTAACAGGTAAAATATATTGAATTGAGAGTTTACTATATAAGGAAGTAGTTCACATTCAGCACTTCAAATAAAATCGTGCATCTGGTTTCTGTATGTTGGCTTTGTATCCTGCCACTTTGCTGAAAGGATTTTATCAGATCCAAGAGTCTTATGGTGGATTCCATTGTATCATTTTTGTAACATGAAATCTGCAAGTAGAGATAATTTGTCTGTTTTCTTATATCCCTTTTATTTATTTCTATTACTGCTATTTCCAAGACTCCAACCTCAATATTGACTAAGAGTGGAGAGAGTGAGAACCCTTGTCACATTCTAAGGTTATAGAGGAAATGGCCTCAATATTTTTTGTTCAGTATAATTTTGTCTATAGATTTAACATATACAGACTTCGTTCTATTAGATGTGTTTCTTCTATACCTAATTTCTTCAGGACCTTCATGTTGAACTGTCAGATACCTATCCTGAACCTACTGAGATGATTATGTAATTTGTTAACACAGCGCAGGAGGCTAGCTCCTGGAACTTACCCAGGATAGCAAAAAGAATATCTCAGAGTAGCGAGGGCTTAGGAAAAATTCTTACCTATCTGAAGGATAGACTTCTATCTGAGGGGAAAAATAAAGAAATACACATGCTTTCTGATGGTAACTTGTTCTTTTACTTCATCTTGAAAACTCTCTTTCTCTCTGTCTCCACATGGTTACATCTCTTTACATACAGCTACATATCTCTCTTTACCTACATATATCTCTCTTCTACACAGCCATACATCTCTATACATAGTTACATACTTTCACACAGTTACATTTTCCACACATTCTCCACACAGCCATATACTTCTATACAGTTATATCTCTTTTCTCTACACACAGCCCTCTCTGCACACATCTCTTTCATACAGCTCTCTCACCTACATAGCAGCAGCTCTCTCCTCTACTACGTCTCTACTCATCCTCTCTCCTCAGCTCTCTCTGTGTGCCCAGCTACATCTCCCTGTCAGTACACACACACACACACACACACACACACACACACACACACACACACACACATCAATAGCCAAACTCTGGACATTTATATGTTACATTTTCAGGGGCCAACCCATTCTCATAATACATGATAAATCACATAGTTTCTCTCAGGCTAGGGAGGTGGGGCTGACTGGCCAGTGAGTAACACTTGGCTGTGCACGTAACTCTGAGTGGTCAGGATTCCCAGACAGAAAGTGACATTGAAATTCAGGACTTAAGCAATAAACAGTAAGTTGGCTGAACCCCGAGGCTAGGAATATATGCAGAAAGCCAACCACTGAAAGGACCTGTACAGGGAGCCACGTCTCAGTGTTATCAGCCTGACTTTTATTTAACAGACGCATGGGAACTTGTCCTTGTGTATTCTCTGCAGGGGCAGCCAGTCTGTTTTGAATTTGTTCTGAAGTCTAAAATTAGCTATCTTTGTGACTGAGAATACTGTTACTTTCCTGTCAGTTATGAAAATATCCTAGTATTATTTCTGTTCATCAGAATTATACAGCTTAAGTGGAAATGATCTTTCTGACATTCCACAGCTATAAGTGCCCCCAATAGATGGAATACATGCATGAGATAAACAGACAAGCAGTGGAAAAACACCCATAGCAGTTTTTAGGGAAGAAATGTAGTGACACATGAGAAATTACAGACAGAAGCAACCAGTTTCTAGAGCCAATAACCCCATGGTCTTTGCCAAGTGGGGCTTCCCATCAGAGAGTTATTCATCTGGTAGGTTGACCTATTGAATACTAGTTGTCACCTGTACTCAGGGTGGTTGGTCCACAACCAAGTAAAACTTGATGACAGCTGTCTCATGCCAGCCTACATAGTCCCTTCTGGTGCTTTAAGGGCTGTCCTTCTGAGAGGGACCCTCCTTCTCAGTTTATTTCTTTGTATCTTAAGGCCAAAATATCGCGGTGTCTTCAGCAAGAGTCTTACAATCTAGTGCTGAAGGCAATCATCAGCTTTCATATCCTTTATTGTTTTGGGGACCTCATGAGCTAATCCCTGATGCTGAGGTTTTTAGTTAATAAACTTATGTTTTCTGAGACTGGGTTTATCCACTTGCACATGGTACCTTTGTCCAAACTTTTATTCTTTAATTAGTCTACAAAATCGTAGGTTTTCTTATAGCCCTGTGCACATACTTAGTTCTGGTTGACCTTTCTCCCTTCCATCCTCCATGTTTCTTTTCCCCACTTCTACTGAAGCATTCTCTATGTCCAGTTTTGACCCTTCTACTGTCCTATGAAATGTGCTCATCTCCCTCTGTTCTCGTAAAGCCTCTCCCTGCTTCTCATTGGTCCCTTTCTAGTTTCCTGGTTTCTTTACACACATCTACATAAATCCACTCTATAAAAATTAAAATATAGGATCTGCAGATAAGGATGGATGCTTGCTTTATATGAGCCAGAGTTACCTCACTTAATGTATTTTAGTTGCATCAATTTTTCTGCAGTTTAATTTTTCTTTATGGTTTAACAAAATTACATTGTGTTTGTCTCCCACATTTTCATAATTCATCAGCTGATGGCCATTTATGCTTGCTTCCCTTGCTACTGTGAACAGAGTAGCAATTTTAAAAAATGTATCTGTAGAGTAGGGCACAAAATACTTTGGATATATACCCAGGTATATCTGTCTCATGTGGTAGTTCTGTTTTTAATTTTTAAAGAAACCCCTCCAGTGATTTTCAGTGGTCACACCAGTCTCTACTCCCACCATCAGGGAGTAATTCCTTACATCTACCAGCATTTGATTTTGTTTTCACGATGATAGTTATTCTCTGGTGAGGAAAAATATCAAAGTAGTTTTGACTTGAATCTTCTTGCCACCTAAGGATATTGAATACTTTCAAAAATATTTATTGATGATTAACATTCGTTCTTTATAGAACTTCATGTTTTTTAGCCCATTTAAATTTTTCTATTTTCTCATTAAACTTGTTCTTTGACATATTTATACATGCTTAAAATGGATTCTAATTACTCTCATTTCCCACCTCTGACAGCCCTCCTCTCTCCATACAAATTACTTGGTTAGATTACAGGATAGTAGATTTACATGTGGCTGTTCATACACCCTCTATGATAATTAACCCCCTCTTCTCTCTCCCCACACCTCCAGTCCCCTCCCTGCTTACTTTCCACTTCCAGTGTTGTCCCTCTCCACTTTCATTTTACCTACTATTGCCCCTCCTTTAGGAGATTCCGCCCTCCTTACATTGCCCCTTTCTCATTTCCACCAGTCCATGTTAAACACACATAGCTAAATATTTAAAGCTCGGATGCACATGTGCAAGAGAACATAGGTTTTCTTTGTGTCTGGGTTACTTTTTTCGAGCTTCATCCATTTGTAGTTGTTTTTGTATAAGGATCTAGTTTCATTCTTCTATATACAGATAACTAGTTTTCTTAACACCATTTATTAATGAGGCTGGTTTTATCTAGTGAATATTTTTGGCATCTTTATCAAAAATCACATGGCTGTGGGTATGTGAGCCTTATCTGGATCATCTTTTCTATTCCTTGTCCCAGTGCCCTCGAACCATGCTGTTTGGCCTTTTGTTTATATGTACGTGGGTGACTTGCTCTTGTGTGTGGGTATGTGGATGTGTTTGTGGAAGCCAGTGGTCAGTCTCAGATGTCATCCTTGCAAGCCACCCGCCTTGTTTCGTTGAGATAGTTATCTCTTAGTATGAGTCTCATTGATTAGGCTAGGCTGGCCAACCAACAATCTACACAGATCAGCTTGTCTCCACCTCTCCAGGGCTGGAACTGCAAGCATACCCAGCTTTTCTGCATGGTTCTGGGAATTGAACTCAGGACCTTACTCTTGCACAGAAAGAACTTTACCAATTAAGCTCTCTTTCCAGCCCCTGTACTGATTTTATAACATAACTTGAAATCAGACCTAATACCTCTAGCATTGCTTTGACTTCTAAAGTCTTTTGCACTTCCAAATGAAATTTCAGATTTTTCTCCTATTTCTATGAAGAATGGTGTTAGGTTTTTATTTGTTTATTTTTTGTAAGACAGTCATTTTTACAATGTTGATTCTTCCAATCTATGAACATGAGAAATTTTTTCATCTGCTAGTGTGTTCTTCAATTTCTCTCAAGTATTTTAACACTTTCATTACAGAGGTTTTCATTCTCTTGATTAGGTTCATTCCAAGAAGAGAGAGAGAGGAGAGAGAGAGAGAGAGAGAGAGAGAGAGAGAGAGAGAGAGGAGAACTGTGAATTGGATTGTTTTCCTGACTGATTTCCTCCTCACCATGTTTGTTATGGTGTACAGGAGGGCTCCTTCATTTTCTATGTCACTTTTGTGTCTTGTTTCTTTGTTGAAAGTATTTATCATCCAGGCCCTCCTGGATTTTTTAGTTCCTATTATTTGCTGTTCAATGTGACTTGGTGTTTTTCTCCACGTACTTTGTTCTGTGTATTCGTATTTTAAATAGAATATGACATTGTGCGGTTCTTTTCTGATCTTGGCTGTTTGTGTTCTCAATGCTTTCTCTGTCTGGACTGGATGGAATCTCCGTGAGTCTGGGAAGTTTCTGCTATAATTTTTTTTAAGTTTTCTATGCCTTTAGAATGAAATTTTTCTTTATGTCCAAGAATCTTAGATTTGTTTTCATGGTGTCTCATGTATCTTGGAAGTAGCCATTGTCCTTCTTCCTTGATTCTGTCTCCAAGCTCAATATGCTGCCCCTTCCCTGACCATTCCACTGGGAAGACTTATTTTAATTTTCTTGTATTTCACTTTGGTTTTTTGTTTCAGAATCCACACCCCTTCATCCCTTTACTAAATTCTTCTCTCATGTCACGTATTGAGACTGTCTTATTTCATTCAGCTGTTGTGTCTTCTGAAAATTCTTTAAGAGGTTTGTGTCTTCTTTGATTTTCTTGAACTATTTTATGCTTGTTCTTTTGTGGTAGGTTTGTTTGTCTGTCTGGGTTTAATTCACTCACT